ATGAATAAACCACTTCTAAGTTATATATTTCAAAAATTCTAGTTGAGTCTCTGTAGAGAGGTCTGAGCTATATACAGGCAAAATATTATTATAATAAAAGCATTTTTCAAAAAAGGAGAACATTTTGGAAAAAAGATTATTCTAAGTTAATTTTTTGCCAAAATATTGTATTTAAATAATTTTTTTTGTCAAAATGTCTTTAAAACAATTTTATACATGTATTCTAATCTAAGTGACATTAAATATTTATTATAAATTATGCGCTTTTGTAAAATCACGGTTCCGAACGTAGTCGGATACCTTAACTTGACTAAAAGCATTTTTAAGTAACTTTATATATATGTTACCGTTAAAGTATATAATTCAGTTATTTCATAGAATAACTTGGTATATCATCAAATAAACAGACAAGTCAGTCAAAGTATATAATAGATGAAAAATTTCATACTTTACATAGTTATTCTATGAAATAACTAGTTATTCAATAAAATAACTAAGGATAAACCGTTAAAGTGGAAAATAAACAATTTCAAAGCTATTTTATAAATTAATTGATTATAAATAGCTAAAACCTTTCTAAAAATACATTGAATCCCTATTGTCACATGGTACTTTTTTCTGTGCTGTTTTAGCACTTCTTACTTATGCTATCAAAGTTAATAATTTTTCACAAGTAAGTGCAACACTTTTTTTCCCTTTGTCCCATGCTTATTTAATAAACATTCAAATCTCTAGCATTGTGTGAATCCTTCTTATTTACAGGTTAGTCTTCCATTCTTGAAGAAGTCGATGCTTGAAAATAAGTTGCAAAAATATTTGTTAATAATCCATAATGTAAAAAACAAAACAAAAAAAAAACCCTAACATAAATACACCACCTAAATTCTACATTTAAAAGCAACGGAATGAAACACGTTCACACACACACGTCACACACATAAGCGGTTCGAAACTGATTAAAAGCTGCGCAAATCAGTCCAAAGAACTTTCGAGTGCTGTATTTCATACTTTAACGATCAAGTAATCGTTATTCTGTAGAATTCCTAGTTAAGGTAACTGCCTACCTTCGGACTCAATTTTTTTATAAAAACAAATTTTTTGAAACAAATTGAGTGCTTTTAGGAAGAAAAATAAAAAAAAAATATGTAAATACATAAACATTTTTAAATCAATGTTGCACTTTTGGAAAAATTGATTGTTTTCAAGGAAATTTTACCAAATTTTTACTAAAACGGGTAACACTGTATAAAAATTTCTTATAAAATTATCATAATTTTCTTTATACACAACATACATATTATAGTGCTCTCCAAAATGAGAATAAAAGAATAAGAAAGAAATTAAGAAATATAAGAGAAATATTAAAATAAAAAAAAAAAATTACAGACAATTATACATAGTAATATGAAAATTTTGTTATCTTTAAAGTTTTTTCTTTATAAAAACTACCCTAAATGAAAAAATATTTAACCTACAACAAAACTTATGGTCCATTTTATGAAAAATAGTATAATCAACATTCTCCCACAAAATTTCAAAACGTTATCTAGTTTGGTTCTTAAGATATCATGTATCTGGTAAAGTGTTTCTTTCAAAACATAATGTTAAGAAAAACTTATTGAAAGTTTTATCTTACTGCCCTTTTGCAGAGAGTGATGTTTTTTAAAATCACTATAACTTTATTTCTGTTTCGCTTAAAGGAAAAAGAAAAACTGTTTTGGAAAGAAAAAGGTTCAAACTATAAGATTTTGAAATAAAAAAAATGCCTTATGTAGACGAAAAACGACATTTTCAAGGTAGGCAGTCACCTCAAATCGTAGAATTAGAAAATTTTGTATACTTTAACTGACTTGTCCAGTTATTTCATGAAATACCTAGTTATTCTATGAAATAACGGATTTCACACTTAAACGGTAACATATATACCTAATGATAGTTTAAATAAGTACTTCTGTAACTTAGTGTATACTATAAATAAAGGATACGCATAAGTAAACACACGGTTGGAAGCCTCTGAACTAGGAAATAACAAATGGAGCAATTTAGAAAAGAATTCACTCTGCCTCAAAGAACATAAGTTTTTGAACCCTCAAAGGCACAGCTTGCGCAATTTTCGTACAAGACAAATATGCTCTGTCGCGTTCCATTACCTGAATTGAGTACCCTCTTCACAAGCGGAATCCCTCGCAAACCCCTTTCCCAGTAGCCACATTCACGGGGCTCGAAACAAAAATAAATAAATAAAAAGGCTTGTGATATATTATCTTCCTTAGGGATCGTATTATTTGAAGCTTAGAGGGAAAAAAGAGATGCTATCCAAGCTGTTAACCATCTTCAAAGACCCCTTGTATCCCCAATTCGAGAATCGTCCTGAAAATGCCAACTCCGCCCTTTGGAATTTCGAACTTTTTTTCCCCTCTTCTCCTCATCTTTGGAGGGCTTCATCTCATCAGATGCCTAAGATAAGGATGGATTTCAACAACATGCGACATTGGCGCCGGAAGTGGAAGGTGTGTCAAATTTGGCTACTGTTGGCGCCGCCATAGGGCTCGATTAGACGGTTGATTAATAGAAAAAAAGGCTTAGTTTTGGTAATTGGGCAATATGTATTCATTTGATATATCAGTTTTCGAAGAAAAAAGGGGCACAGGAATTCGACTTATTTTTGTTCGCAGGAACATGGGACGGCTTCGCGAAAGGAAGTTATTGGAGTTGCTAATGGCTGGGAACGTTGGTTTCAAAGGGGGTGGATTGAGTTCTTTTTCCGTCGGAAATAACTCGGAGTAATAGGAGATAATCTCCATTGCAATTAGTTCTTAGAAATTCTACATATATACTTCTAATGTGAGTAAATAAAGTTTTCATCGTATCTTTTTTTGTTTATTCTATCTTTTTATAAGACAACTGAATGAAAGATTGAAACTATGTGCTTATCTTTTACAATTAGCGTTTAATAAACTGTGATTTCCACTCATTCTATTCCATTGGTTCCACTTCTTGTAAACTTAGTTTTCATCTTCTTTTTAAAAAAGATAATTGAAGTGAACTACATTTTATAGTTAAATTAATAAAGGTGTTCTTAGATAAAATCTAAAGGAGATATTAATTAAATATCCTCTTCTAATACTGTGATTCCCAAAGTGGTCTATATGAACCCCTAGGGGTCTATGATGAAATTCAAGGGGTCCACGTCAGTGAAAAAATAAATTGGGGATCCATGAGGTGTAAATGTGGGTGTATGATAGCCTATACCAGATCATGACTTTAATTTTAAAAGAAAATTAAATCAAG